TAGTCCCTTTTTTTTTTTTTTTTTTTTTTTTTTTTAATAATCAGTTTGGTTTCTTTAGAAAAAAGAAAAAGAATGGAAACACTTTCAGCGAATCAATGGCACATGCACAAGGCGAGGCCTATACAGTGTTCATTTCACCATGATGGGGGCGAAGTGTGTGTGTGTGTGTGTGTGTGTGTGTGTGTGTGTGGAGAGAGAGTTCAAACTATTTTCACCTCTATTTTTTTTGTTGTTGTTTGTTATGTTTTGTTGATATCCTGCATCAACAAAAAGTCGGTTTTCCTCCTCAACCACGCGAGATCTCCTCAGCCACACGAGATCTCCTCTATGCAGCATTATGTTCACTCTTTGTTTTGTTTTCCTATTCTGCAGTTTCTATCCCATCTGAAGCAATACAAGAAGATCATGATGCCCCGATAACTGCGTCTGTATCCAGGGAAACAAGAAGCGAAGCAGAGGCTGCTTTTGGGCCGGAGATCTCTTCCGTCGGTGACTCCAAATTGAGGCAAAAACGCTGGACGCCAACAGTGGCGTGCACACCTGCTGTCCAAGTATGGGGCTTTATATTAAGCTTTTTCACCAGCCAGACAAGTACGTACGTCTGTAATTCGTCACTCTGAGTGTCAGAGCAACGTAAAAGCTAGCTTGCTAAATATACCTTGTGGTGGAGTCGCTTTTCCTGGTATTGCCACTATGGGTTATATATGAAATCAAGATCGAGCTGGCAATACCGGAATCTAGAACCTAGGGTATAATCCGTTGGCACTTACTTAAAAATCAATATCACTATACCCGTCAATCATGATTCAATGTTGATAGAAGAAGAAATTCTTGTACACATTGCTTTGGACAGTGTATTATTTCAAAACGAAAATTTATGTCGAAATGTGAAGGGTGATGATCAATACATTGGTGAATAATAAAATGTGGTATTTTCATCGTATCATAACTGTTGGCTTATTTGAACAGGATCATACTGTGACAGGAATAACGGAAGTTGACTCCGAGTAAAGGAATCGTAGCTCGTTCAATGTTACTTTATACACGTGATATTCACCCTCTAACTCAACCCTGGGAATGCATGTCCTGGGTCTTCCATTCCTAGGAACGCATGTTGTAGGACATAATTTCCTGGAATTTAAAGTCTTTAAAGTCCAGTGGACATCCATTACTTAGTATTCTAAGTCCTGCGGACAGGTATCGATGTCCTAGTCGGACATATTTTCCCAGCTAGACTAGATGTCCTCTGACATTTTCATATGGATGGTGTCTTAATTTTAGAAGATTTAAACGTGATGTTTAAGTATGTTATTACGCTTATTATAATTATTTGTATACATGTACCCCTATACACAATTTATTCGGGTAACTTAAGATATTTTAAATAAACGAACAAATGACTACAAATTAATATTAGATTTAGGATATATAAAAACTTTTTTTATTTTATTTCCTATTTTAATTAAAATGAAATATCAAAATATGAAACATATGAGGTTCGCGCCAGTCAATGCACCTTATGAAATATCTCGGCCATCCACATCCACATTCCTGGGGTACACAACTTTAAATTTTGGCTGGTGCCCATCGGTAAAAAAAGCAGACAAATCAAGATTCGATCGTTCAAAGGACGCACAAGGGACGCTGACGCCTTTACACCGAGACACTATTTAATTGCTTTGGCGACCATTGAGCGTCCTGACCACAATTTTGAACGCAAAGGGACGCAGAAAGGACGCCGTCCAGTGTAAAGGGGCCCTAAGGCTGGAGATGCTCTGGCAAATAGAGTCTCAGATGACAGTATATTATTTATGCTGGACGGTGAAATTCTGCAAAATTATACATGGCATACACTCTCTCTCTCTCTCTCTCCAGGCACTGGTATGTGTCCATATTTCTTTCATACTTTAACTTTATGTGCATTTTAAACCAAGTTCCATTATACTAACATTCAACTTGCTATGTTTATGATCATCTGAATGATTAAAAATAATTGTACAATTAATAACGGTGTCCGTATTTCTAGCCTACTTGTGGTTTTTATTCATTGCTAAATCTGCGCGGTTTTGGTGTAACAGAAATGGTAGTCTTAGGAATGGAAGTCCGGCTCCCATATGATTAGTACAGGTTATAGGGGTAGTCGTAGTATTAAGGTTAGAATATGGGAGAATGTCACTTGTGTAAAGTGCAATGGGAAGCGGACTACGGACTTCCATTCCGGGCAAACCGGTGTAACGTGACAGAGAGTCTTCCATGAAACCCTCTCCCCTTTTACACTAGACGGCTATCATGAAACTGGCATCGCTGTGGTCGTAGAAAGGAGGAACAAGTATCGATCTGGTTATAGAATGAATGATCAATGATCGGTCAATTGTCGGCACGCAAAGTACTATATTTTACTCGCAAACAGGGCCGTACAACGGGACGTAGAATGGAGGCCCTCCAGCATAAAGGGGACTTGGTAGAGAATCCACTTCCCATGCATTTGCACAGGTTAACCTCGCCCTAGATGATGACCCACTAAGATCAGGCAAACGTTAACCATTATAACTAAATAGAGGGCAGACGTTCTGTTACACCTGGGATAGAAGATATATGTTTGGGTCGTAGGTTACACGGACGCTTAGTTTCGTAACACCGGATATATCAGTATACTGGAAAGGTTGAACATTTCCATGTCATCGTTCTCTACATAATCGTGTCGTGAATTAGCTGGTGACATATTTGTGATTGTCTAGTCTAGTAAAAATGAAGCCGTGACCCTGGTAGCGGGTAAAAAAAATGTTGGCGTGTGGGAAGGACGAGGTGAAGTTACACCGTCGTATTTTGCCGTTCATGATTAGACGGTAGAGCCAAAACGAGAAGTGTCACGGCGTTGGATTTTAATTGATCGGTCTATCCTACAAAATAAGTAAACAGCGACCGTCCCTGGGTGGGCTTGAACCACCAACCTTTCAGGCATGTTTTGCTCAACTTCAACGAGGTAGCTGGTCAACTTATCCACATGCTGATATCCAGGCAGCTGGTCTGCATGGCGAACCTAGAGAGAAAGAAAAAAGTCAATAATTGAAATAAAATTGACTTTATAAGAGAGCCTCCACATCTGCACTGTCCCATTCGAAAATGGCAGATGACAATCTGGACATAAATAGAGGATACAGTTGGTGCGCATCTGTGGTCACTCCTGCTGCCAGGCGCCGCATGAAGTGCCAGATATCCAGTCTGACCTGCAGACCTGGCCACTGTGCAAACCGCATCTGGAGGCTGGTCTTCTTGCCACCTTCTGCACAACACCCATTGTCAACGTAGATGAGCTTGGGAGGTGTGACGCTAGCATCACGATACCTCTTCATCAGACCCTGGGCCATGATGTCTAGTCCATGACCTTCTGATGCAGTGAGGACACTGACCAGTATCTCCCCCTTCTCATTATTGATAGAAGTTAGCCACTGCGCTGTCTTTGAGACATGTCCTGCCAGCTTCTTTGTGATCTGTAAAGAAAAAAGGATATGTATGTCTGAAACTACAATTTAAACGAAAAACTGCTTCTTCTTTTTCACACACATCACAAGCATGATCTCATATGGCCCCTTTGTCCAAATTTTTCTAAGTCAACTGGAAAGGAAAATCTGAATGCTTTATTTAGAGTAAAAACCTGTGAATGTGACAACTCCATGTCAAACAACATCAACATCTCTGGCTAGTGTTTTCTTAACAAATGTTTGCACCAAAGCAAAGTTACAAACTACACCAAAAAAAATGCCATTCTGTAATATGTGTATGAGAAATTTACCTTCCTAGTGGAATCCATTGCGAGAATGGATCCAAATGTAGTAGTGATAGAAGCTTTGACTTCATCAACACGGGTCATGATGTCTTTCCCATACACACTGAGAAGCCACCTCACTGTCGGTACTACAGCTGGGGATGGGGGGTCTTGGAATGCCCTGAGCTGGACTCCAGTCAAACCAACAAAAGGGTTACATTCAGTCAGATACTGAATTGTTTTCTGAAGCCACTCTTCAGTATGCTGCTCCATCAGCTGCTTTATGAGGCGGGTTGGACTGTTCCCTATTGTGCGCTCTCTCAGCAGTCGGATGACTCTGATGTCACATGCATACCTGAGGAGATTAGTAATAATGTTTCATTTTCTATCATTGATAATACATATTTCTACAGGAACAGTCAATTAATTATAAAAGTTTTACACAATATGATATGTACATAATACCCAAACAGTAGATATAATTTAAAACATAGTAAATATAATTGTAAAAACCTAAAAATAAAGTTTATTACAGTTTCACTAATAAAAATAATCCAGCTTACTTGGTGGTCATTATTATGCGGAATTGCCCTCTGTGGCCAATGTCTAACTGGTTGAGGACAACATCATTCCAGGACAGGTATGGTGTACGGCACCGGCTACAAGTCAACGTCTCCGTCACCAAGTAATAGTAGCCATCCACATCAAGCACTTGGCGTGCTCTCCTGTGGAGACCAGCTCCAGTTAAGTGGTGGCCACCACACTCTTCCTTCGGACACTGCAGTCGTACACGCCAAAGCCTATATGGCATCCAAACCATAATAGGTCTGCTGAAAAAGCGGTCAGGATTGGGAGGGTTGTGGTACACTGGCAGAGGCTGAGGGGGGTTGTACCAGAGTTGCAGATTGTCCACTAACTCTGCTTTGCCAGATGTACCAGTTTGGAATAGTGCCCTCTTTATCCACCTCCTCTCATGTGCTGGGATGTTATCATTCCAGAGTCCTGGTAGATCACATGATTCTGCCTATAAAAAAGAAACACTTTATGAAAGTAGTGTGCGCCTTAATTTGGTGACAAAAGATCTATTTACAAACTTTCAGGGAAAATTAGATTTTTGTACTTTATAAGCACCCAGATCACTTTTATAATTTGACTTACAATTTTGGGAGTTGTATGCTATGTATAACTTATTACAAGAAATATAAGAGCAAACAAACAAAACAATCCTACATTAATTGTCATATTAACATCTGCTTGCTTGCTATGACAATGATAACAACTATCAGGAACTCAGAATAATTAATAATCATTGTACAAAACTAACCATTACTTAATAATTCATATTCAAAGAAAAAGCCAAAACATCTTACAAAAAGTGAGATTTCAATAATTTTTAACCTCATATAATACTTCTAATTTAAAGATTATGTTTGGCCTGACTGGCTGGAAGAAAACAATCCCTAAAAAAGTCCCTACACAGATAAAAATTCTTTACCTGTGTCACTGTAGAGCTGTCTGTACTAGTGCTAGGTCTTTCTTGGCTTGGATGCTAGATGGATGGGGAAAAGGAGCAAAAACTTAATGAAGAGAAAATCAGTGGGAATATGATATTTTCTATTGTGATTCTACTTAAAATTTAAACAGAGTGAAAACTAGAAACTTATGCACATGTTTTGAAAGGTCAGAGTAAAATTTACTATTATCAAAAATTGCTAATAGAAGGTTTTTAAACTGTAGCCTGTTGATAGTTTACCAACAGGCAGAACTGTTCACTATAATACAGATTACATATAAAAGAAAAAGCCAATACATCTTACAAAAAGTGATATTTCAACAATTTTTAACCTCAAACATACATCTAATTTAAGGATTATGTTGGACCTGACTGGCTGGAAGAAGAAATTATTTTGAGTCCCCACACAGATAAAAATTCTTTACCTGTGTCACTGTAGAGCTGTCTGTACTAGTACTAGGTCTTTCTTGGCTTGGATGCTAGATGGATGGGGAAAAGGAGGAAAAACTTTATGAAGAGAAAATCAGTGGGAATATGATATTTTCTATTGTGATTCTACTTAAAATTTAAACAGAGTGAAAACTAGAAACTTATGATCCTGTTGAAAGGCAAAAGAAAAAATTGGTTTTACTGAAAATTGTTATTAGGAAGGTTTTTAAACTGTAGCCTGTTGATAGGTTGCCAACAGGCAGAACAGTTCACTATAATACAGATTACATATAATGGTGTAAGATACAATTATCCGACTTCAAAATTCCCATACCTGAATGATTTTCCGTTTGACTATGTTTGGTCTGATTGGTTGTTTCACAAATCTTTTGGGCCCATATTGAAGGAGTGCCTTCAGAAAAAAAAAAATACATAAAATAACAAGGTGTTTGCAAGTTTTTGTTACTTTAAAGTTTACAATTATTCCCATACTGACAATGAGGTAAATGCCATATAGAATATTACACATGTACAATCCATTATAATAATATTTTTCATTTTTTGTATTTACATGCAAATTTGAAGACAAATGGCATTAATGACCAGAGGAGTAAAAAGTCTTTGGCACAATCTGCCATATGCTTAATTTTTTTTTTTTTACCTCATGCCTCTTTTGTAAAACAAAACACGAATAAATACTAATAATCCCTTACCGCAAGAGCAGCCTGACTTGCACTTTTCCCAACCTCAGCTCTGACATGTGAACTGGTGGGGTCCAAACTGCTAGTAGGTTTCTGAAAATAGAAAAAAAAAATGGATGTACTTGTAAGCCTCACTTGATATATAGATATAGATAAGGCTCAAATTAAGATAAATATTTATCTTCAATATATTAGAAAATCAGTATGAAAATTTTAAATCAATAACTTATTTTGAAAAGAAAAAAAAATTATATGCAGTATTGATAAACACAAATCCAAGCTATCACCAGACTATTGGATGCAAAGCAAAAATGAATACTTATAACCTCTCACCCCAAGAGCAGCTGAACTTGAACTTTTCATAACCTGACCTCTGACATCCGGACTGTCACTGGTAGGATCCAAACTGCTAGGTTTCTGTAAATTAAAAAAAAAAAAAAATGGGATATATATTCGTCAGCCTCACTATAGATAGAAAATAGATGAGGCTCAAATTAAGATTTTTTTTTAATGAGAAAATCACTATGATAATTTGAAATCAATAACTTATTTTGGAAATTAAGACACGTAGAAGTAGAGCATTGAAAAACACTAAACATAACTATGACCTGACTATTCAACACAAAGCAATAGGAAATACTTTACCCCAAGAGCAGCTGGAATTGAAGTTTTCACAACCTGGGCTCTGAGATCTGGACTGGTGGGATCCAAACTGCTAGGTTTCTGAAAAAAAGATTAATAGTTGGATATGTTACTAATTGTGGAATTTCAAACTATGACCTACTACCCAACCTTTCTATTTTATTTTAAGGTAACTGGCTGCTAAAAAATAAACAGTTCGAAATTACTATTAGTAATAATCCAATCTACTTTCTAGGTAAGGTTATTCTGGACCTCAAGTCATGGTCATATCTTACTACTTTTTAATATTAGCCTGGTTTAAACTGGCGAACCTTACACTAATAATTTCACAAGTTTGGAAAAAAAAGCACCGCTTTAAATTAAATTAATATGACCAGCTTTTATTTTTAGGTGAAAAACAACCTGAAACCTGAACCAAATAAAATGGTTAACCCACCTGGTGATAACCACAAATACAATCCTGCTTCAAAAGCCGCTGCTGGCCTTTGTGTCCAAGCATTGGACATTTTTCTATCTAAAAAGTAATGAATTGATGGCATGAGCAAATTTACATTGACATACATACAGATCATATACATGTTTGAGACTCAGAGAGAACACATACTTTAGAAACTGGTGTTATTTAAGCCTATAAAACCCCTTAGTTTGCTTACTACATGGAAGGTACAACTACACCTTATTTCAAAATGTCACAGCTCAATTTTTTTTTTTTTTATATGGCACAAATAAAATGACCAAGGGTTTGAATGCCAGGATGACCTATGGAAGAATTTTATATCATGTTGAAATTTGCGAGTTTTGAATGTGGCTTAGGTCAATGAAAATAATAATTTGGCTTACTTTACAGAAAACACTGTAAAACTTGGATCTTGGGCCTGGTTTCACTCCAAAATCTTTTTTCCATGTTCCATTTTCTGCAAATAATTTCAGGCGCCGCCTCCATTCTTTATTGGGAAGTGCCTCCTTTGGCATCTAAAAGAGCATTGTGAGAAATAAAATAATAAGCAGGGATGGACAGTTTAATGAATTTTTAAAACATTTAGTGCTTACAGGTTAATTCACAGTAACCTAACTGTATTGACATTTTTTTTACTGATATCATACTGTTACATGGCATATATTTCATCCTGTTAATTACACTTTACTTAGTGACCCCTCGGCTGGATTAATAGAATCATTTCTTACATCTTTATAGAATCATTTCTTACATCTCAAAGATAAGTGTTTTATTTTTTATACATGTTTCAATATAAAGAAAGTATGAGGACAGTTTTTACTCAGAATATTATTTATAACATTGTGACAAAGTAATGTCCATAGCATATTTTCTGTTTACAAACTTAAACTGAGAGACACCAAGATAACTCATCCTATTGTTTATATAATAACAGCTCTGAAATTGGATAATTAGCATCTGAAGTGAAAGCCGGTCAAACACAAACATGGGGAGGGGGTAACTACACGTGTTGATAATTGTCCTTAAAGAAGGGCAGAGCTGTTAATTCCTGCACATCTGGGACAAATGCACAGGATGTCAGACAATGAAACATTATGTAACAGAGACTATGTTTACTAACTACTTCCAAAACAAAAACAAGACAAGGATGCAGCTGTGTGAAAACTGTTAAAAACAGACATCAAAGTGTATAAGCAAGCCTACATTTGTGAATCTTTGCTTTACTTTTCCAATCAGTTAAGCATCACAAAGTACTAATAGGAATTGTTTCAGATTTAATTAATCCAAATAGGGACAAAAAAAAAAAAAAAAAAAAAAACTGGTAGTTTGTATCAATTTCATGTCAAGGAAGCAGGTGACATTTTTTTTTCTTCTGAATAGTTTATTTGTTTCTTTTGAAAGAAAAAAAACTAACAAAGTATTAGTTTTGGGTGTTGGCAGGTCCTTCAAGTGTAAAACTACAGATGTCCCTGCATTCCACTATAAAATGTACAAAAAAAGTGAACACAATTTAGTTTTTAAAATTAAAAAAAAAAAATGCACTAATACAAATGGAAAACACGGAATTCATAGGGCATTATCTAGAGAAAAGCCAGAAAATGTTGGAGAGGTGAAAAGTGCAAACTTTGTTAGAATACCTGACAAATATTAAACGTGGCTTTGAAACTTTTAAAATTCATAGAAAGTAAGCATTAACAAGCTACAAAGATCTTCAATTTAAAACGAAACCTGACTTACTAAATACACAACAATTCAACACGTTTCAATGGCGTCTTCGTAATAAAAAACTTTTAAAGTTCTAATTTTCCAACCCAAAAATCATGTTTACCAATCCAAAAATATGTATTGAATTGCTGTATTGTATAAACCAGATTTTGTTTAAAAAAATCTTATAAAAAATCTCACCTTACGATCGCTTTGATCACTTTTCTCACAGTCCTTGTGGGAGACGTCCGTTCACTCCTCCAGCTCTGATGTCGTCTGCGCGTACTTGGTTTCGCGGGATTTTTTCCGTGCTCCGTATTTGAAGAGTGCACCCCCCCCCCCCAACCCCTGTTGCTTCGTACAAAACCGCCCCCGCACTTAATAACACGTGGGCAGTCTTCCTTTTATTCAGTTACGACATAGCTACATGTCACACCTTTCGATTTCATATATTTTTAATCACCAACAATAAACCATTTAAAATATTGAAGGGGCCAAATATGCGAAGCGAGGAAATTGGCAATCCGCCATGTTGAATTTGCATGTTTCATCTTTTGACTTCGTCTTTTCTGATTGGCCTGTTTCATCTTTCCCCAGCGTTGTGATTGGTCCGTTTCATGTTTCATGATGTTTCATCTTTGTTTCATGTTTGTTTCATCTTTTGGTTTTTTTGAAACGTGATTGGCTCTTTAAGAAAACAGCCGAACGCGCTAACCGAAGGCGCCACAGAGACGTGGTTGACGTAAAATAGGCAGTCTCAAGTTCCGTGGAAATACGACAAAATAAGGTGTAGAAGATTTTAGCTTAAAGCAGTTTGGAAAAAGGTGATTTTCACAGCACAGTTACATGTATAAAATACGGTTATGTTCTCGTGGTTTTCAATCCATTCTCACATTTCTCTATTGTTTCCAGTGCAGGGTTGCTGCAGTACTGGGACAGTAATTTGAAAAAATCAATAAGGCAAGCTGTCGGTTACGATCGTTTGTTAACATCCTTTTGGTTATCTGAAAACAACAAATAAAATGCCATAGAAACTTGTTATTTTGAGGGGATGACACCTCTTAAAATTCAGATTTTTGAACTCCCTCTATGAAATGCTGCCCCCCCCTCCCCCGATGGTTGACCACACGGGTGTGAAATACAGTGCGATGCCATAAGACATAAGCCTCTTTCTACAGTACTCCATCTAACAAAGGCACTAGTTTGCCTATTTCTTGATATTTCAAAATTATAAGCCCTTCAAGAAGATTCCCTGGAATTTACTTGCGGTACTTATAATTGTGATTAAGCAGGCGAAAAAGCGGTGTTGATACGCTGTGCAGGCTAGGGAGATCTATTTGAAATTAACAACAATGTTCAACACACACTCTTAAAAATGATATTTCGAATAATCCGATGCATATTTGACGTTATAACATTATTACATAACTATTTAAGTGGATAAGAAAAAAATCCTAGCGTAAAGATCGGCCTAACCCCTAGCAAGTGATGCATATATTAGAATTCTACACTGCATGTTGTGTTTCACAAGCGCCACAGTGACAGTGTTGCTTATATATCAATTAAATATGTATAAAAATGAATACACTCTGAATTAGTTTTAAGTCTAGAAAGTTTACATAAAAAATACACATTAATGTATGGAGTGAGTCCCAAGGCGCGAACAAGTTACAGTACGTGCCTAGCGATTGTCTGAATGTCGATCTGTTCGCAAATATAACATATACTGGTACATATAAACTATACAGTAATCTACCACAATCAGTTATAAATGGCAGTGTACCACAGGCACGCACGGTCCTAAGCGTTTTGTTATGATATATTTCGTGTTGGACCGAGTACATGGTAAAAATGAACGGTTGCCCTTGCAGAGAAATATGAAATAAGGACAACACATCTACGTTTGAAATTATATAACCGTATGGCGAGATAACTTCAGTGAAGCTTGACACTGGATATCAGAGTTCGATCAATCTGCGCAGTGAGTGTTTGCCAATGAAGAAACTGCATGAATGGGCTCCAACTAGGTTCAGAGTGTTTGGAGTCCACAATTATGCCTTTAATTGCCTCAGTTCGCCAATCTCAGTACCATATGCCGTTAGATGCTGTTGTTGTGACTTTTGACCGCTACGGTTGTCGCGTTGTCGACGGCTGCAGAGTAGAAAACAATGATCAAATGTCTTTAAACAGAAAACAATGTATTTTATTGTGTTCTTAATAGAACACAATAAAACAACGGATTGAGAGCGATGATAAAAAAGAGGCATTAATTATCATATACCTACAGGAGTAAAGCAAGCAATAAAATACAGAGGATCACTCATTCTCTCCCGCGCCTTTATATCTCTCTCTATCACACACACACACACAAACACACACACACACACACACACACACACAAACACACACACACACACACACACACACACACACACACACTCTTACAAACCTACATCCACACACATACAAGCACAGATGAACACATACGCGCACAAAAGCTCTCTCTCTCTCTCTCTCACACACACACACACACACACACCTAATTAAAAATACCACTTCGTTCACTGAATCGGACATTTTACTGAAACATGCTATTTGTATTTTCTACGGTTATGTCAAGGCTAGTTTTCAGAAGCTTTTCACTTAATTCATAGTTGAACAACCATACTTCTTGAAGGTATCTGCGTCTGCGACGGTCACAGGTAGGTCTGTCCTGGCGGTTTCCGGAACCGGAAGTGTGCAAGCAGCTCCGAATAAGGCCAATATCCCGAATATCACAAGAGGCAAAGTGTCCTTTCCAATGCTTTCTACGTTGATGTCCCTCTAAAAAACAAAAAAAAAGCTTGAGAGAACACCTAGACTGCAGACTTCCATACCAAAAAAAAAAAAAATAGGAATTATTGATGGGGTAAAGTAATCCCAATTATTTCAATACTGGGATTCAGTTAAATATTTTTCGAATGTTACTATAAGGAATTCTAAAAAAAAAAAAAAAAAGAAAAAAAAACATCATATCTTTTATGTGTTTAAAAATATGCGTTTTGTTTGGAGGGAGCAATGAAGATAAAAATCGAGGGAACAAGCAAACACATTAGCAACTTAATCCACAAATGTTAAAAGCAAATGGTAAAAACTATAGGTAAAAAAAAATGAAAGTGAAAATGAAAGCAAAAATGAAAGTAAAGTAAAGACCCACCACGATGACCGGTGCGAGCATGCCCCCCACACCAGCTGAGACCAGTGCCAGCCCCATACTAAAGTTCCGCAAGACGGTGGGGAACACTTCAATACTCCAGATATACAAAATATTATAAGCAGCGGCCACGCCAAATTTCCCAACGGTGGAGAGACCGACTTTGATGTAGTTGGTAGATTCCAATTCTGAAAAGAATAATGAAAAAGGAAAAGAAGCGAACTAAAGCAAGTCAACACTGTATATATATACTGACCCAGACTTTTTCGGCTAAGCTTTACCTGTGCTTAGTTTTTTGGGCCAGGGCAGCGATTTTTATAAGAAACGCTTCCGTTCTTGTTTCGCCGGTCATAAAGCGTACGGCAGATGCTGAGTCATTTAGTTTAAAAAAAGAAATAAAGGGTCTAGATTTAAATATGATAGTGTGTATAACAACACATATACAGTCCGCGTAGTCACGGGACGTGCGAAAAAAATTCTGTATACATGTGTATGTGTTTGCGTGTGATGATGCATTTATGTCAACTGAGCAAATGGGTGTGTAAAGTTTCATTTTGGGCGGTGTGACAGGAATGGAATTCCGGGCTCTCATATGATAAGTACAGGTTAGGGTCAGTCGGAGTATTAGGATTAGTATATTGGACGAATGTCACATGTACAAAGTAATGGGAAGAGGACCATAGATCCTAGCGGAATTCCATTTCTGTTACACCGCCTTTGTTAAATATTTATCAATCTCACCATTGTCTGCATACTTTTTCACGAAGAGAGACGAAAGGCATGCCAGTCCGCCCAGGGCTGTACACGTTATATACGGCTTCTTCCGCCCAAATATATCGATGGTGAAACAGAAGGCATAGGCCGGGAACTCAACCAGGGAAAAGAGGAAAATATTGAGGTACATGTTGCCGGCCATGTTGCCAGCGTGAAGGTTTATCCCAAAATACATCAGGTCTAGTATAGCCCTGGAAGTAAAGTGGACACCGAGGTGATCATGTTAGAATGGACGCCGTTCAGTGTAAAGGTCTTTTTATAGATGAACCTGTACACACGTCGCCGTTCGTATTGAACGTCAGCTGTCACCGCATATGCGGCGCATTTGAATATAAATTGATCGAAAATTATGCAATATTTGCAATTCAAATATGCACTTTTAGAAATATGTTTAACTGATGCTGAACTTCATTTAGCATCTAAATATTTCTCATTTTTAATCTTCTGGATGACTACAAGTAAAAGGTCCACTCAACTGAGTATATACATTGTTTACGAAAAAAAAATAAATAAATAAAAGAAGGAAAAAAAAAAGTAAACCAAACAAAATTGAATCAGCTGGCATTTTGCCATATGAAGGATATACGCGATCCTGTTGGTTTTCAACTGGTTTTCAACTCATGACACAGGGCTGGCTTGAAAACATGCTGTACCAGTTTATATAAAGAAGCAGCATTTTCAACACTAGTCTAGGTGCGTGTAGTAGAGAACGGGCACTCTCGGTGGGAGGTTCGCTTATTTCCACTCTTGCTATAAGTCCATTTGGGAAATGACTGCCGTTTATCTTCGCGGTGCGTCTCAGAATTGCCTCCGCCTGTTCATGACGCCCTTTGGTAAGCAACCATCTTGGGGACTCCGGAAGTAACCTTGAGAAATTATGAAGTAAATAAAGTTAAAGGGGCAGATCTCGGATTATTTGAAGGGGGAGGGGGTCCATATTTTTAAAGAATATATATATAGTAGTAGAGCCAGGTCTCGGAGGCAAAGCCGACACTTGCCCTTTTGATGTGGGTTTCGGTGTTTTGGAGGGCAAACGGTGCCATTTGGTGCAGTTTAGAACTATCATTCAGCTTTTCAAAATTCTAATATCAATATCTGAATATCGGTGTGTTTTATTTTTCCATAAACCGAATATATATATATATATATATATATATATATATATATATATATATATATATATATATATATATATATAATGATACTAAAATAAAATAAAAAACCGCCACTGAGTTGTGGTTTTCTGGTCAAGAAACTTGCAAATTATAACTATGAAGTCAAGGGGGTGGTGGTTAATATGACAGACGCCAATTTCTAAACATTTTCATTCAAATTAAAACAGTTAAAAAAAAACTTTACACTGTTTAAAAAATTGCATGGTTTTCGAAAAGACATTTTGAAATAAACCCCACTTTACAGGACAAAATGGACTTTCGTTTTCAGGTACCTTAATACACGGCAGTGACACCGAACATATGAATTATAATGGTACAGTTTGAAGAACCTTTCTAACTATAAAATCATGTAATATAACTGGACTATGGGTAGTAATATTAGCATATAATTAATTGACACGTTTACATATCTTTAATGAAATATGATATATTCAAATGTGGTTTGTGTTTTAAACATCCCATCAACTAAAAGTCTCTTACCAAAACATGAGGATTGTTAATAACAAATATGGCACAGACACTGCTGTCTGAAGATGGCGCCAGTCTCGCAGAAAATAGGCCATTCCCGTAGCGACCACTCCACCCCCTGCAAACATGAGGGCCAATCCTGTTCCCGTCATCACCCGTCTGTTGGGACCAACCATCTCCAGTGCTAAAATGAAACCATACTGATAAGTAGGCCATTTTCACGACGACCGGTGTAACGAAACTGTGGAGCTGTGTAACAGAAGGTCCGACGCTCTCCATTTAGTTATAATGGTTAGGGTTAGCCTGACCTAAGTGGGTCATAATCTAGGACGTGGCTTACATGTACAAATGAATGGGCAGGGGACTCTCTACCATAGAGATCTCTCTGTCCCGTTACACAGGTAATATTTTTTTTGTATCGAACCAGTTTTTTTTCGTATGTTCAGGAAAAAGAGGTTGGGCTTTACACCCTTTAATACCCCGGAAAGTCACAATCGTAAGTATAACCCCAGATCTATAGCCAGTGGGTTCCGGGGAGAGGGGTGTGGTGAACAAACCGTCCTTACGCCTGGGAAAAGATCCTCTCTGGGTAAAAAAAAAAAAAAAAAAGCCGAAGGTTAAGAGACCATTTCCACAGATATTTGGATCGATCTATCTTCCTAGGCGTCTCACTAAATTGCTGTCAACTTGACCGGCTTAATTGTCTGTCACGCCTAGTAAAACTGTTAGGGGGTGATTATCTTTACCCCAAGTTGATTCGGTAGGCGTAACAGACAATTAAGCTTCTTGGGCAGATAGCTATTTAGCGTGAACCCCCAGGGAGTTAGGTCGATCTAGATGGATCGATCTAAGTATGACAACCCAAGCTTAAAAGCACCGCTTTTATCAGCAAATTACCCCGGAACATCCTTTAAACTTGCTGGCTATGGACCTGAATCATGTAAATTGTCTGTATGGATCGTCTCGGGAGTTTCGTTTTAGTGGATCTCTTTCATATTGATTTGTCTATCAGTCTGTCAACCTCACAAACTGGTACCACACAGATAATCGTGCTGTTCGATGTACATGAGAAACGTGCGTTTCATACATTTGGCATAATTCTTTCAAAAAATGGTGGGAGTCGTATTTCACACCGCACATACTCTAGATAAATTGCTATAACTGTCAGCAATCACAAGTGCTTGATCCCCCCCTTCCCCCCCAAAATAAAAAGTAAATGTATATCAATTAATGAGAAAGTTGCTAATTATTCTAAGCTTGACTGCATGTTTGTGTGTGTGTGTGTGTGTGTGTGTGTGTGTGTGTGGGTGGGTGCACGCCAGATAAACTTACTAAGAGTACTTGACAGACAGTACACTCCGCCAAATCCCAATCCGTAGAAAAATCTCAATACAAGACCCAAGATATAAGAGGATGCAAATGCCCAACCAATTCCCGCCAGTCCACCGAGGCCTAGTCCTAGCAGCAACCCCATCCTTCGTCCAGCTCTGAAATGTCCATGCATTTGTAAATTGGATTTTGTACATTTGAAGCTCTTCCTCGCCTTTTTTTCAATAAATTCTCTTCAAGGCCAAATAGATAAGTGCATTGACTTCGTTTTTATTGTTTTTTTCGTTATTTCAATATGATTTTACACTGGCCTTATATGGACAGACCAAAGCAGCGTTCCCGTCGGAACTATAGGTAATCAAGAAATGCTTGTAATACTTACATGTCGGCTATGGCACCACTTAAGACACCTGCTATCAAAACGCCTAGCACGTTTATTATGTGGGAAGTAGTCAGTTTTGATTTGCTGTCGCAAACAAGACTAAACTGAATAGAAATAATTGAATGGCATAAGATAATGTCATTATTCTAACGTATACTTGATTCCAAGTAAAAAAATTAAATAAATAACAAAAAATTACACTGACATAATGTGAGGTTATATACTAAAAAAAAACATCATGAAATAGCACCTGTTAAATGAACTGTGAGACTGTAATATTTATGACTCAATAGGAAAGTAAACTCCTTGAACTTAACCGCATACTTGTTTATTATATTCCTTACAAACAAAAACATTAAAAAAGGAAGAAAGAAAAACAAAAACTTGGACAAGGTATATGACGTACATACCTGCATTGGATAAGAATATGTAATATAGGTGGTATCATATACCCATTCTGTACATTTCTCAGGCTCTGTCCCGTCTTGGCCGACATTGACCTGGCGGCTGATATTGTGAAATACGGTACATTCGTCATCAGTGACATTCATGAACGAAATGTCGACCATCCTTTGGTGCCATTCTCCCTGGATTTCAAATGTGTCATTTTGCAGGTCTGGAAGCATGCACCTAAAAAATATATATATAAATAAAAAATAAAATAAAAAATAATAATAAAAAAGCAGTGCAACTGATGTAAACGGGTTTATAAAATGCATGATGCACATATTACTCAGCGTTTTGAACAAACCATTGATATTCCACACAGTATATGGGTGCTCTACTGGCAGAACAATTTCCTTCTTGGACAATTTCTGCTATGCCAATATCTATTTTAGCTAACTCATCTTATTCTTTGACTTTACAAGTTCACCTTTTTTATTTTACATTTTGATGCATATATCTTATAAAGCTTTATTTTATGAATGTTGAAGAACGCCAGGCCTATTTCCCCCCTTTTTTCCTTACTTTTCATGTCTTCTAAGCAGTAGTGCCCAGGTAAACAATGCAGATTTAAGCTATGATGTTCATGAAAACACTCTCTGCTGCGGTCAACGCGTACCTGAAGGTTGGCGTGTCCTCGATAAAGACGATGGCGGTGTATACCATGCTTGACAATACTGCACCTGCCAAGAGAAGTATATAAAGCAATTTTTGGTACGTCCCGAATTCTCCAATCATCACGAGGATGTCATCGTAATCTGTTGGGTTGTCTTCGGGTTCTTCCTCACTTTTTCTTTCCTCTTCGTCCATTGTTGAGTCTTCCATTTACAGCTGTTTTGAATAAAAAAAGAGATAGGGAGAAATAAACCAACGGGACGCATCCGTGATAGCCTGAAGACTTTCAACTTAGGGCGCACTCACATTCATCGTCGCACTATAGCTGAGTTGATCCAACTCTGAGGGGATTCAGTGGAATAAGTTTAATCAGCACATGAAAGTTAATTACACCCTAGCTGCTCGAGGAGGCGTGCAGACAATTAAGCCGATTTCACTGAATGATATTTAGCGAGAATCCCCCGCAGAGTTGGGCAGACCTAGCTAGTGCGATGTCTGAATCTGAATACTCCAAACCAAGCGAGATTTTAAGGACAGTAGGTTAAATACATCGTTGTGTATTGCTTTGAATTGCTTTCCAAATCACTAGCCCTCGGACGTATAATTTCACCATTATTGTTAACAAATAGCCACGCTGATGATCCTGGCAAGTTTTATATTCGTATAAAAAAAAAAAAAAAACATTATTGCTGTGTTCCACATATATAACCCTGTGTCTCGCAATACTTCAGTTTATAAGTTTACATTTAGATAACATTGTTCAGCAATCTGATGTTTCTTTGACCTTTTAAACTCTCTATTGTATACATTATTCGAAGTGCATAACACCACTAGCACATACACTGACAAACGAAGACATTTGAAACAAAACAATGCTAATTTGAGGAACTTGAGCTTCAAGTTCTTTATGTAATGTTCTTAAGGTGGGGACCTTTTTCTGTAATTTTTTAACACTCTTAAATGATACAACTTGAAGCATCCATAAAACATTATACATGTACAATTCGATTTGATTTGAATTTTCGTCGCCAGAAATGAAGGTTCTTTCGAATCCACCGCACCACTTCGTCCTTAACGGACCTTATATATGTTGCATCTACGTTTCAAAACACACCAATGCTAGACATTACTAAGAACATTATTGCAGTGACGTCACAACTCCAAGAGCTACTACTAACGGGCACTACAGAGCGTCCGTTGAACGTATCCACTATACCTTACCTCTGTTCAAGTCCTCTTATAAACTGAGGTAAAACAATACATTCTAAGAACACGCCCCTTTATAAATAACAAGATATAAATGAACTGACCTGATACCGTCAACAAAATAGGCCAATGGCATTTTACATACCATTCATGACCATTGCATTCCAGGCACGTAACATTTTTTGTGTCTTTCTGACACAGCACCCAAATCCATAGTGATAGAAAGACTGGCGCGCATATAGCATGCGTGCTCAATGAGTGAAAATTCAAGGACAGGACATTAGGGCAAATAAGTTCATATTGGGGGCACGTCCGTGACGCCCTTCTTTTGTGTTATTTAGCATACAGATTGACTTGCCCGATCATTTTCCCTTTTTTTTTTTTTTTTTTTGATACAGTTGTAGCACCCTCCAAGAAACCAACCGTATATAAGACCCCATTCCGAGAGATTAGATCGATTCAACTAGATCAACCTAGCTGCGTGGGGGTTCACGCTAAATAGCTGTCAGCCGAGCGGGCACGAAAGTTAATTACCCCCTTACAGCTTGTACGTGTAGTAGACGGGACGGGCATTTAAGCCGGATTATCTGACAGTTATCTAGTGAGACTCCCCACGGGGATAGATCGATCTAAGATATATGGGAATGCACCCTAAATGGCAATGGAAGAAAAGTGAATGTCGAATAAGAGAAACAAATTATCATGTACAATTATTATGTAAAAGAAAGTATTCGGATAGCAGAGCTAGGTTTCGATCCTAGGACCTCGGGGTTATGGGTCCCGCACGCTTCCACTGCGCCACTCTGCTTCTTGAAAACGTTTAGCGAGGACAAACACTGCCCTTAGGTTGATACACAAAAAATTATCTTCATTCTGTGGACAGATATTTAAAAACTCCCCTTTGAAACTAAATAGTTTATATGCTGGGATATACGCCGTCCACAATTCAACACACTTATCTATCAGAAGTCCTCAATTTACACAGGACAAAGAATGGATCAGCTGATGATTTCAATCCGCCATGAAACAAGATCTTTCCCAGATGAAGACAATGTTTAAGTATTTGTCTTGTACGCTGTGAAGATATATAGACATACTTTATTAGGTATGTATGGGTTTTACGGATGGTTCTAGGACTGGCTTCGGAATATCTGCGTGAATTCTCTCGGAAATTTCCCGTAAGCAGTCAGCACACGTTTCCTCCACCTCTACGAACCAAAGTTGAGCCGTTTCAATGGCGTCGTCGTCGTCTAAGGTATCGATGTAAGCGTTGTTTGCCGTTTCGCATTCTGCCTTTAATGCAGTCACTTCTTCTTTAATCTGAGATAGCCTATGAGCGATTGTCGTTTCTTCTTGAAACATCTGCCTTGCTTTTGATACTCGTTTTGTGAAAGAAGGGAGGCGTCCCGTTCTTGCGGCTTTCAATCTTCTCTCCTCCATGCCGTTGGGTGTTGATATCCGGCTCGATCTACGATCTACCGACCCACGGCTCAGCAGCTACTCGTCTCAGTGGCCAACGGCACGATCTACCGACCCACGGCTCTGCAGCTACTCGTCTCAGTGGCCCACGGCACGACCTACCGACCCACGGCTCTGCAGCTACTCGTCTCAGCGGCCCACGGCATGATCTACCGACCCTACGTCTACTTTAGTGACTTAACGGTATCAATTTTTTTCATTTTCATATCTAATTTATTCAGCATTTTCTGTACAGTTTTTTTTCGTCATATTAAAATCATTATTTATTTATTTATATCCGCTCTTGTTGTTTTTAATCTTCAAAAATATCCTCAACATCTAGAAAAAAATGTAATTTACAAGGCAACTGTGACAACCAAAAAACAAAATAATACATTGGAATATCTGAATGTGGATTTAATTCAAGATACAATAACCCAATAACCATATATATATATATATATATATATATATATATATATATATATATATATTGAAAATCCGCTCCTCGAAAAATTATATATATAACAGCGTGCTGTACAGATCTGCTTGACAAAATGTTTAATTGGGTAATGTGAGTACGGAATGGACTGGAGACGGTTGGGTTGTCATTTATTTTTCACGAAAATATATCAGATATTTTTATACTGCCCTTGAAAGAGCAAAGATTGAAAGATACCGTAATTTTATACAAATTGGGCTGGGAAATATCTAAAAGGAGCAAAGGGCTATTGCACCAACATATTGTTGATGATTTTACAGTTCGATTCTATTTTAATAAGCCAACTTCACATAAATAGAAGGAATTGCATAATCTAGCTGTAGAAACTAGAAGGTAAACCCAGATAGTAGACACAAACAAAAATTAAGAACCTGTAAACTATGTACTTTAAATGACATCGAGGATGAATTTCATTTTATTCTTAAATGCCCTTGCTACAGAACGATTGGGCAGAAATGCATCAGAAATGTAATTATACAAAGCAAACTGGTTTCAAACAAAACAAATTGTTTCACTTAACAATGTTACACAATTAAACAACTCAGGTAAGTACTTAAGGTGTGCATCGGAGTTAAGATGAATGTCAGTCTGATGATTTTTTTTTATCATTACTATTAGTAGCTGTAGTATGTGTATTGTTGTTGTTATGACTTTATATGTTTACTGCATTTCATTTTGATGAGCCGACGGACTTAA